TTATTCTATTTATTACCTGACTTCAAATACAACAAAAAAATATTCTGTGTTAATCTTTTGTGTATCTCCATCACGTATTACTGTCAACCTCAACTGATTAACAGTAATCAGCAGTAGCCAGTGTCTTTTTGGATGACCTTAGAATTGCTGAATGTTTGTATTTGCAATGATATTGTAATGACATTTGCAATGATAAGCAAAATTACACCATTCTCAACTCAAGCTAATTGATTTCACGTATATAACTGTAACAAAATCAACGGTTGCCCTGAATTTTATATAAGATAATGCCCATTATTTGTATTAGCAAAAAATAATCACTTTGCTATAGTAAAGGTAAAGCCAGTCGAATCCGACTCTAGGGTTGCGGTGCTCATCTCCGCTTCAAAGCCAAAGAGCCAGCGCTGTCCGAAGACATTTCCGTGGTCATGTGGCTGGCATGACTAAACACCAAGCCACATGGAACGCTGTTACCTTCCCACTGAAGTGGTACCTATTTATCTACTTGCAATTTCTTGCTTTCGAACTGCTAGGTTGGCAGGAGCTGGAACTAGAGACGAGAGTTCACTCCGTCATGCGGCACACTCGGGTCTCGAACTGCTGAACTACCGACCTTCCACAGCCTGCAGTTCAGCGTCTTAACCACTTGAGCCACTTCTTTTTCATTTTCACTTTGCTATAACTATAGCAAAATCAATGTTTGCCCTGAATTTTATATAAGATAATGCCCATTATTTGTATTAGCAAAAAATAATCACTTTGTTAAGGAAAATGTAACAGACTCTTAAGAGTTATTCCATCAGACTCCTCACTTCAAAACAAGATATGAAAGCTGAATTTGAACTATTACCCTGACAGCTAATAGAAAGATGACCAAACGTACTTCTGTTCTTTATAGACAAATAATCAGACACAAAAATTCAAAGTTATTGAAATGATATAAAGTATAGCAACGGGAAAGAAATGCAAGCAAATAAACACATATGGACAAATTCCTCAAATATTTGGCAAAAGAAATATGTCAAAGAAACACAGAGGCTTAGGTCATATATCTGAAAGCAAGAGTCTGTGGCGTCTGTGGTTTATCACAATGTGTTCACAGCGCAATGGCACACTGGTTGTACAATACAACATTGCGTCCTTTGTTGGAGTCATACACACCATCAACATTAATGCCCAAGTTGTTTGTAGTATGATTCTGGACATGCAAATACATGAACCTCTTCCATATGGTTTGGCGCCATGCCTGGCCAAATAGTTTTCGAAATATCGGCTTCAAAATATACAGTTAGCTAGAATGCTGGGAAAGCATATTTTTTGGTACATTTATGTGGCCGTATAATATGTCACCCGCCACAACACTAAAATAGGCTGAATTTTAAATTTCACACACTCAGGAAGTTGTAAGATTTAACTTTTTCCATGAGAGAAGACTAAGAGAACAATTCTGTCTACTCAGAAATAAGATGCATTTTGTTCTAATTTATACTCAGGAAAGTTTTTTTAGGATTGCAGCCTGTGGTAGATCAGAACCAATGGGTTGAAATTAAATCCAAAGAGTTTTTGGCTAAACGTTAGGAAGAACTTCCTGACAGTTACAGCGGTTCCTCAGTGGAACAGGCTTCCTCAGGAGGTGGTGGGCTCTCCTTCATTGGAGGTTTTCAAACAGAGGCTATATGGCCATCTGACAGCAATGCTGATTCTGTGAACTGATCATGAGAGGGAGGGCAGGAAGGGTTGCATCAGTGCTTAGTTCTTGTGGCCCTTCCTTATAAACCCAGGGAAATGCTGATCGCCACTCTGGGGTCCGGAAGCTATTTTTCTCCAGGCCAGTTTGGCCAGGGATCCTGAAGGTTTTTTGTCATCTTTTTGGCATGGAACAGGGGTCACTGGGTGGGTGGGAGGTATTTATGAATTTCCTGCACTGTGCAGGGGGTTGTACTAGATGACCCTGAAGGTCCCTTCCAACTCTATGATTCTATGACAATTATAGTTAAGCAGACACATTCTGCTGCTGGGTACATAATCAGAGCACAATAGCAACCTGTCCACACTCAGATCCAAAGTTATAGGACCCAGTAAATAGTTGGTAGCTTTGCCTATGATGACAGCTATGCACAAAATTAGTCTGAGTCAGATCTCAGTCCAGGAATCTGACTTTAGTGCCAGGGTTTAATTTCCTGGTACCGTTTCCACGCCCTTAACATATGCATCACAGATGGAAATTCAACAGGCAGTGTTTTCCTAAGCATTCAGAGCATACCCTCTATTGAATTCCTGACTGTCAATAAGTTTGCCCCCAGCAACATGAAAAATTATTGCCCATCTAACAAACAAATGGGCTTACTGTCACCAAACATAAAAGGTCATAAGTTGATTTTAATTATATGGGAGATGGAAAACAAACCTTTAATGCTTAGAAGTCATTATAGTCTCACATTTCCACTCAGCCACTATAGAGATATGTAGACACACAAACATAGAAACCACACATGGGCCCCATGAAATCAAACAGTCTACACAACTGGGCCACAAATGGCTAGGATAGGGGACCCCCAAGTCTGCAAGAAAGATCCTAAATATTTAAAACAGCTGCAGGCAGAAAGCCCCCCAATTGTGACAAGCTCTGTCTGAAATGCATACAATACAAACCTAGTTATGTGCTCCATCTCCTTAGCTGGGTCAGGGTCAATATTTCGATTGGGTTCAAAGGGAGGGTAGGAAACGGAGTTTCCATTTGCAAAAAAAAGTATTGTAATTTAACTTTTGGTAATAAGATGTCAGTGCAATGAACAGATCATAAAAACACATGAACATATGGCATTTCCTAGGTTTTGGGGTTTGTTCAAGTTAACTTGGGATATGTAGCCTGATCCTTGTTATGTATGCATGTATGTGTTTTCTCGTATCTTTCCTTTTGCCGTTTCTTTGGGGTTTTCCTGCCATTTCTCCACTTCTTCCTATGACTCTCTATTATTTCCTCTGCTGCCAACCACAATTTCTTCTCTTTTTTCTTTTGTCTGCAATGTAGCAATTTGCAATTGCCCTGGTATGGCCTCCTTGGACGTTTGGAGCGTGTGTGTGAAGGATCCTGACACAGGTGGCCCCTTCAGCCAAACCGTGGTAGATTGTGGGAGAAATCTTAAGCAGGTCTACTCTCAGGAAAGTGACTGCAGCCTGATCCTCACTGACTGGGGGAACTGATGACTGAGAAAGAAACTAGAACCTCTGACCTCTCTCATCATCCGTTATGTACAACAGCCTATGCCCTCCAACCATTCAATCACTCTTGATTTATGACACCAGGGCAACTCCTCCCCCTTCCCCTCTGTAATTTTCTGGATAACCACAAGGAACATATTTACCCATTGCATCTTGAAGAGGGGAGCTCTGACTCATGAAAGGCGGTACTGGAATAAATGTTGTTAGTCTTTAAGGTGCTACTGGACTTCTGTTAGGGTGTTCAACTACGATTCCCAGGTTCAGATCACAATTGAAGCACTCTCTCTCAGCCGGACCTACCTCACAAGGTTGTTGTGAGGATAAAATGGGGGAGAGGAAAAACAATGTGTGTCACAAAATCTAAAGAACATTTTCCTGGGAGTAAGCTCCACTGTGTAGACCTGATCGGGGTTCCCTCTAAGCTGAGTTAGTGTGAGATAGCTCACAGTATTTTAGCCTCCAGCTCACAAATTTTTGTCTTAGCTCAGGAAGGATGGCTCCAGAACGAACTAATGTATGCAGTAGCCAAATCACTTGCTCACAACTTTAAAGCCAGTAGCTCACAGAGTAGAATTTTTGCTCACAAGACTCCACAGCTTAGAGGGAGCACTGGACCTGATTAGAATTCTGAGTTGGCAGACATAGAACTTATGTAGTTCATTTTTTGTTGGTGGCGTTGCCTTCAAGTTGCAGCTGACTCATGGCGACCCTGCAGAGTACATTCAAAGGTGGCTTTCCACTGCCTGCCTCTGCATAGCGATCCCAGTATTCCTTGGTGGTCCAAACACTGACCAGGACTGACCCTGCTTGGCTTCTGAGATCTGAGCAGATCAGGCTAGTCTGGGTCATCCAGGTCAGGGCTTAGGCCATTTACAGTCTAGTTCCAGCTCCTGCCAACCGAGCAGTTCGAAAGCAAGAAATTGCAAGTAGATAAATAGGTACCACTTCAGTGGGAAGGTAACAGCGTTCCATGCGCCTTGGTATTTAGTCATGCCGGCCACGTGACCACGGGAACCTGTTCGGACAGCGCTGGCTCTTTGGCTTTGAAACGGAGATGAGCACCGCAACCCTAGAGTCGGACTCGACTGGCTTTCGAGCAAGGGAACCTTTACCTTTCTTGCTAAGACCCAACGTTCTCCAGTTTGTTTGTTTTTTAAAAAAAAGGCAAATCAACTTGTAACAACGACGCGGTTCCACTTTGATTAAGATACCGCGTTGAAACAGTACACATTCATTTGTGAATATTCTTCAGCGATATATATATATACACACGCACGCACACATTTGCATGTGTGTATGTGCCTGTTCAGTGGGATTTCTTTCCAAAGAGTGCAGCCACCACGATCTACATAGGCACAATGTACTGCCCCACTCCCCACGCGTACAAACCCCTGGGAAAGCAAAGGTGAGTTTTTCTAGGTTGGGGAGCGCGGCATCCAAGCGCTTTCCATCTTTCCTCCTCCGGCCTTAAGACGGGGGG